ATTGAACAGCTTGTCGAAGTACTCCCGCCATCTATGCTTAATCTCTTCGTCCTTCACCAAGAGTTGGCCTGCTCCGTCCTTGATGCATTTGACTTGGCCAATATCCCTCGTCTTCCTCTCCCGGATCTTAGCCATCTTATAGATGTCCCTTTCACCTTCCTTCGTGCCTAACCGTTGGTAGAGGTCCTCATATGCCCGACCCCTTGCTTCACCAACAGCTCGCTTTGCGGCCTTCTTCGCCATCTTGTACTTCTCTATGTTGTCTGCACTCCTATCCAGGTATAGGCGTCTGAAGCAATCTTTCTTCTCTTTAAGTGCCTTCTGGACATCATCATTCCACCACCAGGTATCCCTATCTTCGCTTCTCCTTCCCCTGGACACTCCAAACTCCTCGAGGCCACCTTACGAATGCAAGTCGCCATCTTCATCCACACATTGTCCGCATCCCCTCCTTCCTCCCAAGGGCCCTCCTTAAATACCCTCTCCTTGAACACCTAAGCTACCTCCCCCTTGAGCTTCCACCACTTCGTTCTAGCGACCTTGGCACGCTTATCCCGCTGGACACGAATCCGAAAGCGGAAGTCAGCAACCACCAGCTTATGCTGGGGTACAACACTCTCCCCAGGTATCACCTTACAGTCTAGGCACGCACGCCTATCTTCTCTTCTCGAGAGGATGAAATCAATCTGGCTAGAGTGTTGGCCACTACTAAAAGTCACCAGATGTGATTCTCTCTTTCTAAAGAGGGTGTTAGCTACAATCATGTTGTAGGCTAGAGCAAAGCTTAAGACATCTGAAACTAATTAGCAATGGTCACTATTTAAATCAACAGTCACTATTTACATTAGTATATTACCATCTGATTAGCAATTAACATCAAAAGTCAGTTACCACTAAAGTCTAAAACACTCAGACTATGACACAGGAGAGTTTCACTCAATCCCTTGGTTGATACAAAAAACTGCAGATAGTAGCCAAGTATTGCAGAGAAAGGGCAAAAAAGTACCAACTCTTCCATGAACGCAAGAAGATGTCACGAATGGATTATCTAGGTAATCTGACTCCCTGACGGCAACATCAAATAGGAGAAGAAGAACCATCATCTTCTAAGAAATTAAGAAATGATGCCATATCAGAAATGGCATAAACGCCAACTCAAATAGTTAATTCACAAGGAACACATAAGATTAAAGAATGAATTATTATTCCTTGATGGTAGACAAAGCAAACTTCTTTATTGTCACTGCAATCAAATAATATACAAAACTGCCAGGCTAATTCTGTAATTCTGTTGTTGGCAATCCATCCATGATTAGATTAATTAGTAGAAAATAGTCAATGGAGTTAGTGAGTGAGGCTCACTGACCATCCCAACTGGAACTCTTGTGCTCTCTTAGCGGACTCAACATCAGCTGTGGAGTTTGAGACAGGCTCGTACCATATCACATCCAACAACATCCCCACCTCTGCATTCTGCTCTGCCTGCATAATATTAATGCACAGAAACTCAATCGTTTATTGTTCATTTCAAACTATATTGCAACTTCAGGCCCAAGGGAAAACCACATCAATTTTCAAAGAGCAAAACCTGAACTAAACCAATATATAGGATGTTCCGACTTCTGACCGACCTTGTACTTCTTCCTGTAGAAGTCTGAAACCGTGGCATGAGCGAGGATCATGTTGTGAGTGACAATGTAGGGCTCAGTGCCGGAGCTCCCTTGTTTGCAGTAGAGGTGGCGGAGCACAGAGCAGCCACCCGACGCGTGGATCCCACTGTCGTAGCCCTGCACCGCCAGTGTGTGGCTCGTTGAAGGTGATCCAATGCTTCACCCTGTCCCCAGACGCCTTGAAACACGTCTCTGCATACGCCGCGCAGTCGTTGCTGCATCTATAATTTGCATGTTTTGGTTGTTTGACCACCATTGCAGGACCCAAGAAAAGTTGCTCCAAATCAAGGTGCCTACGGTACATACATTATCTGCCTGTCAAGCAGCCCACTGTACTTGTCTTCCAGGGCCTGGGAAAGGTCCCAGTGGTAGAGGGTAACATATGGCTCAATCCCTGGAAAAATGATAATTCTAGTTCACATTGTTAGTGAGCTCATAACTAATTTGGATTTAACAGTTATTTTCAATAAAACTTCAACACTGGTCAACAATGTTTTGATCTTTAGAGTGTACAAAAGTTCACCTTTTGCTAGGAGTGCATCAATGACCTTGTTGTAGTGGTCGATGCCTGCCTGGTTGACCTCACCGGTGCCATCTGGACATCAAGCAAAACACACAAGGCTATTACTATTAGTGTGCTGATATATATGTTGATTTAATTCTCCATAATTGGACAACCCTGTCTATCAGTCAAATTATTAAGGGGCGCACAAAATTTGTACTGATAATGCATACTTGGGATAATCCGAGACCATGCAATTGAGAATTTGTAGGCATCCAATCCCATATCTGCCATGAGTTGAATGTCCTCCTGAAATAGTTAGTTGTTTCAAGGGCCATGAGTATATTTTACAACGTGCACATAATTAACTGCTCATGTTCATATTCGACGACACATCCAAGAATCATAGCAAAAATGGGCTAATTAAGAACAAAGAAATGCAAATGAGGCACGTACCTGACTGAGAGGGCTGAAGATTTGCGAGGCTGCTCCCCTTCTCCAGATCGAGGCCACACTCCTGGCCTCTCCTTCTCCAGATCGAGGCCATGCTCACCGCCGGTCGACCACGAGCTCCGCCGAATCGGTGATGGCACAGAAGGAGGACTGGGGGCGAGGCCCTGGATGCGGCATCAGGGGAGTAGGCGGGGGTCGCGGGGAGAGGGTGAGGGCGAGGCCCAGGAGGTGGCGGCAGCAGGGGAGGAGGCGGGGGTCGCGGGGAGGAGGTGGCGGCGGCAGGAGAGGAGGCGGGGGGGACGCGGGTTAGGTCGCTCTCGCGCGGGGGCTGGCGACGGCCAGGTTTCTCCATCGCAGCGGGTGACTTTTATGCTCTGTACGTGTTTGTACGTGAAATTACTAAGATGCCCTCGGTGGGGAACGAAAATTTGTACGTGAAATTACTAAGATGCCCTCGGTGGGGAACGAAAATTACAGGCGATGGCAGCAGCAATTTAAAGGTGGCGTGGCTGGCTTCGTTGTGCCTATGAGTTCTTCAGGGTTTATATGTTCAATGAGATTGAAACAAGATCCATGTTTGACCATCATCATGATATTGGCTCTGAGGAGGATCCGGAATTGTTCTTCGCGACCTCACAATGTTTCCCTGTAAATCGTGGCATTAAATGGTATCGATCACCCCACAAAAAATGGCATCAATAATGATAATTAGAAATAAAATAATTTACTTTATTTGAATGCTCTCCATATGATAGAAATAAAATAACTATTTTATGCTATTAAGTTCGACCTTTCCAATTCTCGTGTTTTCCTTTCTTTCTAACCTATTACCTCTTTCATGGATGACCTATTATCGCATTAAATATAGGCCTTTGGATTAAAAAGAAGGAAAATATTTGTTTTCTACCGGATGATTTTTCTCAGGCTTAAACCGCCCGCTACGGGCGCCACGCGTCCTGGTAGGGGCTCGCCCACATGCCGGCCTTATCTCTTCATCTTTCATCTGGAGCGCGCTCGATCCCCTTCGTCTCTTTTCCACCACAAGCCCGTTTCCAGTAGCCTTATCTCATAAAAAAACAGTCGATCCCCTTCGTTTTCGCACGACCACCATGGTCTGCTTCTCAAGCTTCACATGCTGTTGTTCAAGGTCCACAGCGTTGTGACGCGGTGATTTTTGTTGACGAAACAGCCGGTGCTGCAACGCAGCCTCGTTGTTGACTTGATTGCTGCCGGCGCTGCGACTCGACGGTGCTGCCGGTGTTGCTATGCGACGCTCGTCGATGCCGGTGCTTCGACGCGGCGCTCGCCGGCGCTGCAACGCAGCACACGGGAGGAGAGGTTGAGCTGCTCGCGCGGCTCTGTTGCAACGCAGCACGAAGGCTGGAGTCGGGCGCCGCTCGCCGCCGGTGATGCAACGCAGCACACAAGGAGGAGGCTCGGCTGCTCGCGTCGGTGTTGCCCTGGAAGCTTTATCGCGCCGCGGGAGCTGCAATGGAGCGCCGCCTGGGCTGTGATGGAGCCGCCGCGGAGCTCCATTGAAGCTTCGCCGGAGTTGATGAAGCGCCGCCCGGGCTGCGATGGAGCCGCCGCGGAGCTCCATTGAAGCTTCGCCGGAGTTGATGAAGCACTGCCGGAGCTGAAACGAAGAGAAGCCGGAGCTACAATGAAGCGCAGCGGGGGGTCGTTGAAGCTTCGCCAGAGTCAATGATGCACCGCCGGAGTTGCAACGAAGCGTCGCCGGAGCTGCAATGAAGCGCAGCGGGGGGTTGTTGAAGCTTCGCCGGAGTCGATGAAGCACCGCCGGAGTTGCAATGAAGCGCGGTGGGGGCTCGTTGAAGCTTCGCCGGAGTCGATGAGGCACCACCGGAGCTGCAACGAAGAGTCACCGGAGCTGCAATGAAGCGTTGAGGGGTCGTTGAAGCTCCACCGGAGATGCAATGGAGCGTCGCCCTCGCTGGTGATGCAATGGAGCGCCGCCGGACGCCGAAGGTGCTGCCATGGGAGCTGCGAGCGGTGAACAGGTGTTGCACTGGAGAGACGAGGATTCAATTTTCTCTTGGGCTGTGCACGTGGCCTAGCTGGCACAATGGACGGCTGCGCAAAGCCTCATCTAACGGCTCACGAGGAGGTTTAAAATTGGGTAGCGTCAGCCGGATGATTTGTAGCAGCGCCCTAGAAAGAATGGACACTCCCTAATAATTAGGTACGAGCTTTTTTGAGGGACTATCCTAAAATTGCTCTTTAAGCAAACAGTTCCAGACGGTGAGCAGGAGCTCTTGTCTCACGCGCACATGCAGGGATAGCAAGGTACTTGCGTTATCATGGGTCCCGAAGGATGAAGCACCTCCACCAGATCGGTGAAGTTGATCACTACAATGGGTCCCGTTGCTGGAGGCGGGGTAGACAGAAGCACATGTGCATCCGCGAGCAGTGAGTCTATGTCGCCTCGACTAGAACAATTGAAGATGGGATCATGAGGACGATTAAAGCAATGAAAATACTTGCACCCATTCTTGTTCAGAAGCAGAGGTTAAGGTAGTTGATCATGGTCCCGACCAAGCTTTGTATATCGCCACCGTCCAGCCTGTTGAGACGAACATAGAGGCACATGATTTGCTTGCGCGCAATCTTGAGGAACCACTTGGCCTTGGTAAGGAGATAGCTTGGGCGAAGGCCAAGGCTTGACCCCAGACCTTGATCTGTCGGCTGGTCCAGAATGTAGGAGCGGGTGAAGAGTACGAGGTGTTCCACCAAAAACTTGCGGCCTTCTTGGTCCAGATGCAGGCGGATCATCTCCGATAGAAGCGAAATTACGACATGCCTCCTGTTGGCGGCATGGTCAACAAAACACATGAAAAATAAACCTCTCCAGACGACGCACCTAAGGACGGCGCAACCAATGAGGTAATCCATGTAGTCTTGAAGTATGCACATCAGGCATCTCTAGAGTATGATGCTTCTATCCTGATTCCTGATGGCTCCTATTCCTACACCTTGACATCAACCATTTTTGTTTTGAATAATATCCCATGTCATGTGTTTATGTTATATTATAACAACAAACTGGTATATACTAATGTGTTATGAGACTGAAAGAAAGAGCAAAGTGTGGATGAGTGCACTAGTGTGGATGTGATTGATGTATATATTATCTACCCGATGAAGATGGAAGTGTTTGTATATGTAGGAGGAGGAGAGAACATACCATTTTCTATACATTTAAAGAAGGTTGGTGGGCTATTCATTTGCACCGATTTCACCTCATAATACTTGTGCTCTATTTTGACTTACTAAGACTATTTTTCTCCTCTAAATCAATAATGACTCAACATCTCTTTTTAGACAAAAGGCATCTTCCTATATGTAAAGCCTCGAAAAGACCCGATGAATGGTTTCACACACACACACACACAAACACACACATACACACACACACACACACAGAGAGAGAGAGAGAGAGAGAGAGAGATCTAAGCACACATTGAGAGATAGGGATCTAAGCGCACATTGAGAGAGAGAGAGAGAGAGAGAGAGATCTAAGCACATTGAGCAACCTGACACCGACATTTGCCATCTCCAATGAAGACTTGTCCTCCCTCTTCACTGATTGGACCAAAGCTACATAAACATAAGTATTCTATAAATAAGCAATCAACCTGTTGATTAGGGATAATCTACTCATGTTGCTAACCTATTTTCTAGTAATGCAGAGTGCCTAGCTCTTGGCAGCGAGGCATAACCAAATAACTCTATACGACTGACTCGAGATCCCCTGAGTAACAGTGATAAATTGGCCAAAAGTAGTGGGGTGCCAGTGTTATTTATGAATGCATCTCCACTTGAACCTTGTGTATTCGAGGTCTCCACAAACAGCACAATCTTTCAGGCCTCCACCTTCATTGAATCTAGCTACTAGATGGGGAACGGCCCATATCAGTTGCTAGAGGAAAAATCTTGATCTTAAGGGACTAAATGTTGTTCGGATGGCCTTAAAATGCTACTCATTCCCTGCTTTATTGAACGGTTAGCGTGTCACTTGCCCCACATGTTCATCAAGAAATTCACTCGATGTAAAGGTCCCTTCACTACTACTGCATAGCCTCTTGCATGTACTCTCATATTTGTAATGCAGTTGTTTGTCTTTACCTTGTTTTTCTCCACACGCATGTTCCTCTCATGCCCCAATCCTGGCCACCATTCGTTACTTATTTGGATGAGATCTACCACTTAAGCATCTACCTTGCCATGTCTTAGTGTTGTAATTTTGTTCTGTTGCCTCCCGCTTCATCACCCTCCTCAAGCACCTCGCTCCTAAACAACTTTGACCCCATAGTATATTTGCCCAACCTCTAATTATATTCTTTTTGGAATAAATAATATATCAAAAAAGTGCAACTGAGCGAGATTTGGTAGGTTTTCTTAAAGAGTAAATTGGACTCATATGTACACCAGTAGCATCTCTTATAATAGTGGCACATAATAATAACCATATGTATGATAATAGAGTAATCCAAACAATCTGGCATGATAAGAATAGGTTGCGATCTATTCATATAGCCTTACATCCATAATCCACTAGATCAACATATGCCAAATCTGATTCTCGAAAGAGAAAAAATATGCCAGATCTAGTGGCTAATACTCTCCTCAAAGTTGTCATAACCCTTGTATACAAGTATTAAGTAATAAAATAAAGCACTGCATAGAGCCTGGCGATATACAACTGAAGATACAACCATCCAAAGCTAGTTGCATAAAATTTTCCACATGGTGAGGCAATCCAAACAATCATGGCATCATAAGAATTTTCCATGTATGTTAATTTGACTCTTGTTTACTAGCTAGTTAACATTACATGCAATTATTGTCCATTTCATCTTTCATGCAACATGATTATGATAGTAATAGTTGCATGTGTGTGTGCACGCACGTGCGAACGTCCTAGTAAAATTTAATTTCGATTTTGTAATCTTATCTTTGATGGTCTTCTACAAATAAACATTCAACCATCTTAATTTTGGTTGACAACCGTTCTTTACTTTCTTTCCTTACGGAACTGACGAGCATTGCAAAAGGTTTTCACTTCATTCCTTGGTATGCTAGAGTGAAAAAAAAAAAGAATTGAACACATGGTATAAGGATGCAACAAGGTATCAGTTCCAAGGCGGAAAAACTGGGGATGATAGTTGCTTTTGACCACATGGTTAGCTTATTTGATGGACTAAATGTTTTTTCTTTGTAGATGGCTCACTGCATTTATGCTTGATGAAATCATAGATTGTGTGCAATCCCACCTACTAAAATTTGTTGAACGTCATGCCATTGACACAACAGTATTCTGAACAATTTTGAGCCTTGTCGCTCCAGTTTGTCTATATATGAAGCTTGCAATCTGTATCCAGTTCACTTTATTTGCCTACCTCTTCTACATACACTAAATTGTCTGCTGAGCATGTTGGGAGTAGGAAATGAAATATTGCAAGCTGGTAAACCTTCTGAGAGGATTATTTGATAGCGTTGTCTTATCATATACGATGCCTCATTCTTTCATCTTGCCTGATGCAAGTTGGTATGTGTAGCGCGCGGTATTGTTTCTGTACTACTGATTTTATGTGATTCAATCAGCTTGCAACTACGGCAGCAAATTGTGATGTTTTCAGATGTTTCTCGAAGTTTCCTAATGCTTCTGCATTGCTGATTGTCCAAGTTGAGATATTTAACAAGGATCGCGTTGAAACTCGGCTCCATTCTTATTCCGATTGTTTGCACATCATATTCATTGATTGCAAATTTGGCCAAAGGAACTCTCTGGCCTTGGGTCTTCTGTCAAAATAGCATAGCTAGGATGGGTACACAGATCAGTTGTAGGATCAAGTTCGAAAAAAATAACTATCATTAGACATGAAATTGTAATAAAATGAGTCCGAGAAAGAAGAGAAGGAAGACATATATAATAATGAGAATTTTATAATTTTTGGAGGAGGCAGCAAGCGTGCAACAACCATAAATTTCCTAGAACAAAGCGACTATCATAATAAGCTCATGAAAAAAAAGTGGGCCGAGTTTAGTCTCAAGAAACACACCTTTCTGAATCGATTTAGCACGACGTAAATTTAGCAATTAGTACTTGCCTCAAGAAAGACACCACAATATTGTGTTACTGGGAGCTGCTTTAGTTAGAATATCCCGCTGTAGACACTATACAGGATTATCACTGAACCGAGCATCCTAGAGTAATGCGATATCTAGCACCGGTTAAATTGTTCATATGTACGCATTTGGATGCCTAGTCTGGATTGTATATAACTGAAATGGATGAGGTATGTAAACACAAAACCAAAGATTTCTCTCTGTGGGATTTCCTTATTTAATTCTACTGAGTTACTATTCTTTGTTCTGCCACACCTTTCTCTATTCCAAATATAAAAAGAGTACTTGAATCAATGATGAAGACGAATGTGTCCGCTTATCAGTTGAATCTGATTTTGTTACATATTGCCTTTGTTAGAGTTATATTAGTGATGACTTTTGGTCTTTTACATTCTAGCCTTTTGGCATCCTCATGTACTTGTATATATGCTGCCTTTGGCCTCCTAATAAAATTAAGTTGCTATTCCAACATGGTATTAGAGCCTAGGTTTTCTCCGGCGCTGCAACTCGCCTGACGATCGGTTTTTTTTTCAGTCTTCTTCTCCCGATCGATCTCTTCTTAATCGATCTCTCTATAGCAATCGATGTGAGATCGATCGATGCCAAGGACATACGCTGCCGCTGCTCCCTCTTGTTCGTTGTTTTTCTGACCCAACTCACCCAGGACGCCTGCTCTGCCTTCTGGTCGATCGGGAGTTCGGGACGCCCGCGCTGGACGCCGGCCCCGTGCCCTCCCGGCCAGACCGCCGCGGCTCCGCCTTCTCCCGGCCAAGCCGTTGCCGCCCCGATTCAGGCCGTCCGCGTGCGCTCCGCCTCCTCCAGGCCGCTCCGCTGCCGTTAGTGTCCGTCGGCCGCCGGTTCCTGCTGCCACCCGCGTCCGTCGGCCGCCGGTTCCCGTTGCCGTCCGCGTCCGCCGGCCGCTGGATTCCGTCCAAGATCAGCCGCTGGCCACCGGTTCCCGTGCTAGATCGGTGACCGGGCATTGGATTCATCTGACGCTCGAGGTGTGTTTGACTGGGTGGACTAATGGACTGAATCCATCAACCTACTTCCTGTGTGTGTGCGCGTCCTGCCTGCGCGGCCCGTGCATCTCTCTGCTTTGGGCTGCTTGTGGGCAGCCGGGCTCCAGTTGGCCTGCTTCTGCTTCCGGCTCCTGGCTTGAGTTCTGTGTTTCAAAAAAAAAGAAAAAAAGAGAAAAAAGAGTTAAAAAAAGAGAGGTGCAATGCTTTCGTCGGGCACGCCTCTCTCGCAGTGCCCGATGTTTTTCAACGATATTCCGTACATTGATCCTGTCTCACAAATGCGTCGTTCCTTGATGCTTGATGCTCGCCCGCTTGGAGGTGGTGGTTGTCGCCTACTTCGACACCTTATGCGATATCCACCGGTGCTGCTGACCGTTCTACATCAACTTCTTCAGCAGCTGCACCGCCTCCTCTAGCCGCTTCTCTGCATGGTGTTGGTCGTTCTTCAGCGACTCTTCCCACGACTTCCGCACCTAGTGATTGCGGCTCTACATCGACTCGCTACTCCCGGTC